CTCTCTCTCTCTCTCTCTCTCTCTCTCTCTCTCTCTCCTCCCCTATCCTCTTTCTCCTCCTCTCTCTTGCCTCCTCTTTTTCTTCCTTCACCGCCGCCTCCCTCTCCCCGTCGTCATCCTTCTCCCACACTCTAAAGCCTTGACCTTACCTCCTCCCCCTCTCCCTCTTGGCATATAACTAACCCTGCTTCACTCACTTGTTACATTGTCAGGGAACGAACGGTGAAAGGAATTTGTCCTCACTTGGCGGAGAAAGTGGGCAAGGGAAGGGTTGTCGGTCCCTTGTGCCGCCAAGAAGAAAAGGAAAAGGGCATTTGATAATTGGAAGGAGGCGAGTCCGGAAAGGGACTAGAGAAAGTTGGTACTTAAAGCAAGGTCGGTTGACTTAACTATTACCCCGACTGCATGACTAAGGGAAGAGATTGGTCTGGACAAAGGAAGGAAAAGGAAAGCACAAAGAGCTAAGGAAAAGTGAACTTAGGCTTGTGGGAGGGATTATGTGTTGGCCTTATATGGAGGATGCCTTGCATAAATTGTGTTGAATGTGCAGGTGAGTATCCTAAAGAGTCATTGAGCAGGATTGGGTCCCGGCTATGTCGGGCAACAAAGAGAAACTGGGATTGAGGTCAAACGGGTTGTAGACTCAACCCTTGCCCTTGAATAAGTTCTTGAGCATGTTTGTGCAAAGCAAAGTCGACTATAGCAAACGGCAAAGACACAAGGCGGCCGAGAAGGCCGCCTAGATTAAAATGAAAAATTTGGACGTGTATCCGGGATGGGGCCCCCAAAAGACTAAGGGGTGTATACGACAAATACAAAGGCTGGACAAAAGAAAGACATGCATGATGTATGCGGCAACGAAAGTCACGAGTACGATGGCCGAAGAAGGATGCAGACAAAGCCCTAGGGAGGCATGGGGGGACCGCGAGACATCGTCCGCGGGCCCGAGCCGAAGGGCGGTCGTGGGCTCAACAAGGCTTTGAGGACTCCCCGCTTAGTGAATGCATGCATGGCCCAAGGAGAACGCTTGGCCTACACATAAAAGAAGAAAGACTTTCAATAAACTGTTTGAACTGCTTGAGTATTGGAAGGAGCTATTGCATGATATGACCTCAACGTATCACGAAAACCGCGTTTGACAAAAAGATTGGCGGGACTACCATCCGGCGAGAGGGCGAAGCTACATCCCTAATGTCAAAGCTCTCTCGCGAAATGGCCCATCCCCACCCATCTCAAAGCGCTAGGTGGGGGTGTCCCTGTGACGAATGCTCCGTGCCCTGAGCGCGAGTGTCGGTGGAGCAGATCCCTAAGGAGGCATCGGGGGACCGCGAGACATGGTCCGCGGGCCCGAGCCGAAGGGCAGTCGTGGGCTCAACAAGGCTTTGAGGACTCCCCGCTTAGTGAATACATGCATGGCCCAAGGAGAACGCTTGGCCTACACATAAACGAAGACAGACTTTCAATAAACTCCTTGGACAGCTTGAGTATTGGAAGGAGCTATTGCATGATAACACCTCAAAGTATCAAGAAAACAGCATTTGACAAAAAGATTGGCGAGAGTACCATCCGGCGAGAGGGCGGAGCTACATCCCTAATGTCAAAGCTCTCTCGCGAAATGACCCATCCCCACCCATCTCAAAGCACTAGGTGGGGGTGTCCCTGTGACGAACGCTCCGTGCCCTGAGCGTGAGTGTCGGTGGAGCAGAGCCAACTGGTACCCGCAGTGTGGTCGACACAGGCTCGAAATTGTTAGGCCCTACACCGAGAATGCGAACAAAGGGTTGGGTGAGAGGGAAACGCAGGAAGGTAACAAAATTGCACTTTTCATTCTCGGTCCTAATCAACCAAATAAAAATAAAAGAAAAAAAATAAAAGAAGAGGATCACCCCCCCCCTTTTTTTTTATTTTTTTTATTTGTCGAACTGCTATCAGTGAGGCATTATGGAGGAGTACTATGAGCGAGATCTAGGCAAGGTTTCGCAAAGTTTTGACTTAAAAAAAAAATGCGATCTTGAAAAAAGTTTTTTGTACGAAATAGAATGGAGGTTCCACTTTTAGAGAAGAATAGATCCAGTTTCTGAGAATATGACAACCTCCCTAGTTGCCTAATATGCCCAAAGTAAAACAAAAAAAATGAAATGCTACTGAAGTTCCAGAGATTTGTTGCAATTTTTTTTTTTTGCAGAGATTTGACGAAGCCCTACTTGATTCACTAATAATCAATCAATCAATCAAATAATCAGTCGATCAAGCAAGTTGGCTCTTGGATTGGGCAGATCCTCTAATTGAGAGGTCCGCTCCGATACCAAGCTGTTACGTATCGTAATGGTACAGACCAGAACAAGAACCAACCTCTCTCACAGTAATAGTACAGGATAGTGCAGTGGAAGGCTAAAATACCAATGATCAGACCAATCAATGTCGCAATGCAAACCAAACATACATCATCATCATCGCAAGGTGTGAAGGGGCCTGACGCTCACACCGGAAGAATGCGCCAGTCCCAAACCATACATAGACGAGGAGGAGGGGAATCAAACGAAGAAGAGGGGGAAGATGGGAATGTCGTCAACACCAAGTCTTCGATATAGACCCCAAATAATCCCTAGTCCAATGTCTCGGTCCCAATATCGAGTCTGAATCCAAATGTCGTCAAATCTCAAAGTCGCAAATCTCTCTCTTTCCCGTAGTCTGTAGGTGTTGAGAAGTCAGATAGCGAAAGGGTGAGGGAGAGATGGTGGACTTAGAGGAGGAAGAAGAAGAACTTTCTCTCTCTCTTGTGCCCAATATTAACCTGTGAAGGTGGCGTCTTGTTGCAGGTACCTCGAAGACGACGCTGGAGCTATGGCGCCACAGGTAAGTCTCCCTGGCCTCTGCCAACTCTCTCTCTCTCCAACGCTACTCTAAGCTCCTAACAACGCCCAATGCTGAAGACTACTCCTAGCACTAGCTACTACTACTGTAGCGCTCCTGCAGAGTGCTGCAGCCAAATCCTGAAGACTGCCTCCTGCACTGCCCATGAAGTGCCCGTGAACTCCCTGCAGCCTGCAGGGCGGACCAGTACTATATAGTGTTGGTCAGGTTGGGAGGCTGCTCTTGCCCATGTCGAATCGTGTCAGACCCTGACGTTGAAGTTCAAACAAAGGTTGCCTTGAAATGGGCCTAAAAATGGTCTGCGCTTAGCCCTGGTCTGGCGCCTAAGTTTCAGGACAGGTCGACTTTATGAGGGCATGAAAATGACCCTCCTTTTTAGGCTTTTAGGCTGAAACGACACAGGGCCTGAGGGACCCTTATTTTTCGTCTGGTCAGGCCCTGCAGGCCCGTGTGGATGCGCAGTATGCCACATCTGCGCACTTCAGGACAAGCGTTGGTTGGAACTGATGGAGGACTACTACGACCTCGACACGAGCCCTTTGAAGGGCATGGTGGACTGGAAAGTGACCCCTCCTAGAGAGGCACTCGGAAGTTGGGGGGGGGGCACCAGGCAGTGGAGGGGACGGGGGCGACAGTGCGGGGGTTGGCAAAGGAGTCCCGCCTAGTGGAGAGGGCGGGCCTCGCGATGACACCACGACAACGGAAGGCAGCGGTGGGGTGGAGAAGGTGGTCGTCGATCGGCATCCGTCTACTGGCCCCAGTCCAAAGCATGCGATGAAGTCCGCCGACCTCCCGACTTCGTCCACCAGCTCATCGAGGGAGATGATGGTAGACTTGGTTGCTCTTGGTAGCCGCTCAGGCGGAGAGTCCAAGTCCGTCGGGATCCAAACTACATGGCCTGAGGTGCCGCGACAGGAGTCGGTCGTGCGGAGCGAGATGGGGGTGGGGGTGTCGAGCCAAGATGGCACATTTGACAGTGGTGCTGTGAGGGAGCGGAATGTGTCGCCTGAGGGGGAGCGGCGACTGCAAGGGTTGAAGCGAGAGGGTGCAAGTGGAGCGCCCGACGACATGGAGATGACGAAGTCCGCCGAGATCCGAAGTTCTTCACGTGGGGAGGCTTGCCTAGGGATTTCCGTACCGGCAGGAGGGGCAACATGCGTGGAGACAAAAGGGCGGTCGTCTGGATTCGACACGGGTTCGGGAGAAGGGGCTGAATTGCATGGAAGGGGCGGAGAGGAGGAAGGAGAGGAAGGGGAGGAAGGGGAGGAAGGGGAAGAAGGGGAGGAAGGGGAAGAAGGGGAGGAAGGAGAGGAAGGAGAGGAAGGGGGAGAAAAGGAGTCTATTAAATTGCTTGAAGGAAACGAGGGTGACAAAGGGAACATGGATATTAAAGATCATGAAGAGGAGGACAGTGAGGATGATGCCGCCTCTGAAGAGTCGTTTGACGAGTTCAGGCAACTGTACGGAGAGCACCGCGGGGATGATGTCGACGACGATGCAACGCCAATTGAGATGGAGTCATAGGTAGTCAGCAGCCGTTCAGCAAAACGTGAAGACTATGACGTTCAACCGCTGAGGCCTGCTGTCGATCTCTGACAGTGGTTCGATGAGGTTTCCGTTGTTGTGAGCTGAGCTAAACTGAGTCGCCATATAATCATCGACGAAGTTTTCGAAAGGATCCTCGGCGGCCAGCAGGTGTCCGCACATCTGACTATGGCGCCTGACGTCGACGACCCTCGCAACGTCACACCTTCCGTGCCCGCTGTCGCGCGGCGGTCCCACACCCATACGCAGAGTAGTTTTTTTGGTGTTGGACCTCACAGTCATGTCACGCAGGAGTTATTTTTGTCACTTTACGAAATACCAACTCCGACCGTGCGCGCGTGCTATACCTCTCGCGACTCCCTACAACAGGTTAGGGATCCCGCGAGGTATAACATTACCTCCACCTGCGGGAGCTGTCACCATCCCTTAGGTGGGTGTATCCCTTCTGAGCTACTGACCCACGTGCGAAGGCTTTTACATGCAATCGCAGAGGTAGGGCAGCCGAGGGCGTTTTCTCGATCGCTGTAGCATAGGAATACGCGCGGTAGAACGCCTTAAGACTGACCCGTTTGTCGTACCCCGAGGTGCTGACTCCTCGAATTGACTATCTAATCAGGTCGACTTGTTCGGACTGTCTTCCACGCTTAGCAACTATGACAATAATCCTATGTTTTCCTTTGTTGACCTTATGAAAATGCCAGAGTCAAGCCCTCAGTACTTTCTCATTCTTCTCAAAAGAAGTCCTAGACCAATGACTTCCTAGGTACCGACCAGCCTACAATCTCACTCACAGGTATATATATAAGTATGTATGTAAATCAGGGGAGCTGGAATGAGCGGTGGACTTCACTTTCACAATTGTCGTGCCCCTTTGCCTGAATTTCTCAGATGATCCCAAACTCAGAAGACAGCACAGATGTCCAACACCTGTGCAGATGCAGAAAACAACATACACGCATACAGATGCAGACACAAAATGCGCTACAAGCGTCAACCTTTAATCCATTCATAGCAAGCCACTCACGCCCCAAACCCTTGAAAAGAACATTCCTTCCTAACCCTGACTCCTTTTACCCCAGCCCCACACATTTCGAAGACTCCTGAGTGTGATTTGGACAATTTAGGCATAGATACAGAGGAAAGATTTATATGTTCTCTTCTTAGGTCTTGTCTTAGGTGTGGGTGTCAAGCCATGGTGGAAGTTGAGTCGGAGTTCTACGGACCTGTTATTCAGAGATAACAAAATTGTTGTTCTTACAGATTCCCCGTAAGTTCTCCGAAGTGTCGAAACATGTAGATACAACACAGTCCAAGAGAAACTTAACATCTCTTTTCCTAACTGAGATCTAGAAAGTTTCCTTCTAGACTTTGTGTTTTCTGTCTGACTCATATCCTTTACTAATCGTTTGAGTTGTCGCCCTCCCGCTTTAGGTAGTGAATAATAGTTCACCCCTTTTTTTTTTTTACTGTCACAATAATTCTCTATATCCCTTTCACTATCTCATTCCTATCCCTTTTCTGGATTATCCTGTCCGAGTTCCCTTCCTTCTCCCAACACACAGGAACACATCATCAATCCAACCTGTGGAAAAGAATCTCAAGGAAAGAAATCAGACAAATGGATAGTCCCTCTCTGAGGCAAGATCGCACTTATCCCCTCTCAGTAGAATTAGGGATAGTTAGTTAGGACTGAACAATGCAGATTGTGGAGAAAGTTAGTGGTGGTATGGCAAACCATTCAGGATATATCCACTTGTTACTATAACTTGTTTGACAAAGACAAATGTTGTGGGTCTTGGCCCTTGTGAGCCAAAACATATTTAACAGTAGGCTTATCCTATGGCTAGTCACTGATAAGGCAAGTATCCCTGGAACCTCACTACTCTTATATCAGACTAGTCACTGATAAGGCAGGATTTCCCTGCTACTCTTATCACTAGCTAGTCCTCAATAAGGCGGGTGTCCAAGGATCCTTGCTATTCTTATCATTGACTAAGCGCTAAGATGTTTATTGATAAGGCAGGTGTTCTTGAAACCTCACTACTCTTATATCAGACTAGTCACTGATAAGGCAGGATTTCCCTGTTTCTCTTATCACTGGCTAGCCCTCTATAAGGCGGGTGTCCAAGGATCCTTACTACTCTTACCACTGAATGAATGTTAGGTAGATCAATGATAAGGCAGCTGTCCTTGAAACCTCACTACTCTTATATCAGACTAGTCACTGATAAGGCAGGATTTCCCTGCTACTCTTATCACTGGCTAACCCTCAATAAGGCGGGTATTCCAAGGATCCTTGCTACTTTTACCACTGAAAAGAATGTTGGATTGGTTAGTGATAAGGCAGGTGTCCTTGAAACCTCACTACTCTTATATTAGACTAGTCACTGATAAGGCAGGATTCCCTTGCTACTCTTATCACTGGCTAGCCCTCAATAAGGCGGGTGTCCAAGGATCCTTGCACTTATCACCGACCAAGCGTAAGGCTTATCGAAGTTAAGGCAGACTTTCCCTGCTATTCTTATCTCCACACAAGTCTTATCTATGAATCAAGTCATCGCTTTCGATGACATTCGCCTTGAACCGTTGTCAGTTTCGGGGACTTATGCTTGGATCAGGCATATGACAAGAAATAACTCACACGAATCACCACCGTTGCATTTCAATCACAACAAGCTGAACCAATGAATACCCATCATCATTAGGCGACGTATAGAGAGAAGAATATAAGAAGTCGATCCCTTGCATCCACATTTCCAAGAAACGCCAACACAACAAGATCGTTGTACCCTTGTTACTAACATAGTCATAGGTAACAGCCTAAAGGTTACAGATTTAGGGTTTAGGGTTTAGAGTTTATGTTGAAGCACACATACCTCACTGTTCCCTGCTTCCATAGTTCCGCCTGAACTCCGACAGAGCTCCCGCAATCGCCCTATCATTGGTCATATACAACTCATGCAATCGATTGTTGGGCTCTTAGGGTTAGCTGAGGTAAGGGTTAACTCAACGGGGATCAGACCCCAATCAACAAGTCGAGGGGCATGTATCTGAGAGGACCACACAAAGACAAGTATGGAGGAGGATGGAGGACGTGGGCACCATGATAGCGTCTCCCTCCTCTCCAATGCCCCATACTCTTCTTCTCTGTCTCTGTATGATGCCTGATGATAACAATCAAAATAACGACATAAAGTAATAATAATAATAATAATAATAATAATAATAATAATCATAATAATAATAATAAAAAACCAATAATAACGATAATAATAAGTAATAATAGCAATAATAACCATAATAATAATAATTGCAAGGCATACGAGCGTGACGATATATAGAAACCAAGTTGCGAAATCACACAGATGTCTGAGTAGAGATGTACAGACAAAGCGCAATAGCCCCTAGAATTCGTCAAAATGGGCCACCATAAAGAAGTAATGAACCAACACTCGTGCCCATGAGCCCCATCAACACACCTTTTCAAGGCTGCTCCTTTCTGCTTGGCGCCCAGCGCCCTAGTGTATCTGAGTAGGTATGTTACTGTTTATGTACGATTGTCACAACGTCTGTGTAAGTGTCTCGGGATCTGCCTATGTCACCGTGCCTGTTTCACTCTGTTTGCGTGTGTGTCACAACATGATTGTGTGTGTGACTGTGCCCGTGTGCCACGGTGTCTGAGTATGTATGTTGTGTGCGTGACTGCATTTTTACTGCGTATGCGCGTGTCACAGTGTCTGCGTCATTGTGACTGAGTGACTATGCACTGTGTTTGAGTCACTGTGTATCTGAGTATTTGTTGTATGTCTGCGTGTTTCTGTGGGTCTCGCTGCGTTTTTGTGTCTGTGTGACTGTGGTGAGTCTGCAGTGCAATGCCATGCGGCCAGTGGCACCGGACCAGTCAGTCCCAGTCCAGCCCAGCAAATACCATCAGAGACTGTGTGTACCATGGACCAATGGGAAGAGGCAGACCATCGAGTTACAAGAGTATAAATCAGGAGGCAGCATTCAGCCATCCTTTCATTCTTGCGTGAGCCATGCGGAAGCGCTGCCACAACGACTTGTGCACAGAGGTCTGCAGCAAGCCCGAAGAGTGTAGTGGTTAAGGAAGTAGCCATAGGATAGGGTAGGTGGCGACGGCCACAACTGGTACAGTGTAGCGTGCGTGTGCGTGCGGCTGTGTCACGGTGCCTTCGTTACGTCGTACCTGTCACGGTGCGACCGTGTCACCTTGCTTGCGTCACAGGGCATGTGTCACCGTGTCACTGCACCTGTGTGACTGTACATCTGCGTGGTTTCAAAGCGTCCGTCACCATAACTGTGCATATGTACTGCGTGCACATGTCATCTTGACCGCATATGTCACGGTATTTGGCCGTGTCACAGCATATGCCTGCGTGAGTCACAGCGTTGACTGCTTACGTGGGGTGTGCTCCAGACTGTCCGTCCGCCTCGGACTGTGTATGCCCGTCTCAAACCGCGCTTGTCAGTCTTGGGCAAGTGCCTGTCCTATCCCTGACAGTGTCTGTTTGCCCCAAACTGCGTATGACTGCCCCAGATTGTGTTTGTTTTGTTCAGTCCGGTTCCGTATGCCTAGTTGTCTGTCTGCCGGTTCGCTGTAGGTTCGCCTATGTGTATTTTTTTTTTATTTTTTTTTTGTCTGTCTGTCCGTATTTCCCTCTATTCGTGTGCGCGAACCGATAGTCGTTGGCTGCTGCTGCATCCCATCCATTTGAAAGTGACCTGGTATTCGAACCGTATCTGAAGTAGCTGCGTGTCTAAGTTTCTGAGTTTGGGCGCTTGTTGCCAGTCTGGCGTAAGGTCTGTTTCGCAGACATGTAGGATGAAACAGACAACAATCTGATTACAACGATCATAATAGTGGTAATAACAATAATAATATAAATAATAATAATAATAATAATAATTAACAGTAATTACGGGAAATAAGCAACACCGAGATGACAATTCCTGATTACACCATCATAGTGACAGCCAGATAGTCACATC